TTGAAGCTATCTCACCGAGATGGCTCCCAACTACGGTACTGTACTAGGCACATCAGCTGCAGAGTTCTCTCTTGCTCCCCGTCACAGAGGTGCAGAGAGCAGGTGACACACTCCACCACCCCACCAGGAAAGCATCCAGGAAGTCAATGAACCAAAACAGACCACTGCTTAGTTCAAAGAGAGTGAAGCCTCTAAACTGCCAAATGTAATGTAAACAATGTAAACAAACAATTGAATCTCGAAACTAGCATGAGCTCATTAGGACTAACCCTTAAGACAAATGAAGTTTATGAAATTTTTAAAGCACTCAGATTTACTGTGTGCACAAAAGTATTGATTTTTGTTCTTTTTAAGTGCAGTCTGGCCTCTTGGTACTCAAGCATTAACTTCAATTTTTTCTGATATATGATTATTGCACTTGCAAGTTAAAGCCATATCATGCAGCAAGAATTGTGTGGGTACATTAGACAATTATGGAAGGAAGTTTCATACCATGGATACCAAGACCATTTTGTTAGACAAACTTGATCTTAGTTAAGGCGGAATGTGGCCAGCAGTGGAGTATGGCATTTGGTGCTATTGCCGTTTGACAATAAAAAAAAATACACAGACAAAGCGAATGATATAATTCTGAATAAAATAGAGATCAGTGGAAGTTAAAGTACATTAAAAATATTGAAACCTTCTAAGCATGAGGCTTTAGATGATTCTGTTTTAGCAATGATATATGCAGCACTGGAGCCCAGGGCTGCATCTTGGAAACGAACAATTACAGTGTAGTCGAGATAATTTCATAAACCATGGATGTTGTGGACTTCATGGTAAGTTAAAAACATGACTGGATAAATTTAATTGATGCCATTACAGCAATATAACTGCACTTTGTTGCCTCTTGTGTTACCAAGATGACCAATGCATGCCAAAAAAAGGTAAGTGAGCAATTAATTTTGTTTTTTTATCATTTAGAGGCTCAAAATCTTTATACAGTGTAGTATTTAAGCATGCATATACATGTATTTTATCACTTGTCACAAGAAAAATCATGAAAATTTGGTGATAACCAACAAGGGGTAAATTTCTGGAAATCCAGATTGGGTCTAGAACTATATGATCCAGATTTTGGAGGTGCCACTGCATTTTGATGTTAGCAACTTGATAGGTCAGCTTTAGCCAGGATTTGTAGCAAAATTCTTCAAATTTATTACATTAAAACATTTCAGAACTTTCTATTAAACTTCATGATTAATAATAATACAGTAAATGCAAAGATTTGTTTGCAATTGCCAGTCAAAGGATGTACATTATAAGTTTATCATGGGGCTCACCAAAGTGCAATTGGTAAAGATAGTCAAAAACTGTGCTTCCCATCTCTATTTTACTTCTAAAACTCAAATCCTAGCTGTACAAATGATTATAAAAGCATTTGAACCAAAGAATATAGTGGATAATTTAGCTGTTAAATGTACAGGTAATGATATTCACTTGATGTACAATTATGTCACAATGTTCTTTGTAAATAATATTGTTTTAAATGTTGGATTAATATCAAAATCTCCTCTAAACCCCACTCATATGTTAAACTTTATATGAAGTTCATAATACAAAGACAGTATTCTGTACAGGAATTAATTCTTGTGATATCTGAGAGGTGTTTGTATAGCGCAGGTTTACAGTGAGCCCAAAAAAACATTTTACTAGTCTATGCTATGTGAAGACAAATATGAAGTTAGATGAAATTTGCAGCATCTTGTCAGCAAAAGATTTCATTATTGTTGAACACACTTGATTATTTTTTGCAAATTTTGTAGAGAATAGTCCCCTTCGCAAAGCATAGTTGTATCATTGTTGGGTTCAGCCTCGATAGAAGTAACAACATTCATTTGATATTGGTTTCCTTCAAGGTTCTTGCCCAGCTGTTGATAGTAAATTTTAGTCATGGGCATTAGTGTTAAATTACAAAATAATACATAATTGCTGCACAATTTTTATTACCATTATTTTTCTTAAAACTATCTTGTCCCAATCAGGAATTTGTAGCATATATTTAAGCTTGTATGTTTTACTTCCTGTGGCTTAAATTTAGAATAATTTTTCATAGGCAGGCTATAAAATTTACAGATAGCTTACTTACAGCTTGGCACTGATTTTTCAACTGTGATAAGCAGATTGGATTAAAGAGAGTGGTTGAAACTGATATGTTTTTTCTGTCCTTGCTCAAGTGTACAATCCATTTTACTATTTATTTGTGATTTGTGGGAATATTATATTATGATCTTGAACTTTGAAGTTGGATATAATCCAGTGTCGGGTTACCTGTGATTTGAATCTCGCAAGGACCTCAGGGTGTGACTCGAATCTTAGCAGCCGGTGAGACAAATTCCTTGTAGCTCATGATTTTGTTAATTTATTTAGACAACACTTAATTTTCTATGCTCTCACAACCTAAATACAGTAAACACTGAAAAATAAACCTTATGCCTTTAACATTAAGGTTGGACCATGAGAGAAACACCTGTCTGGCCCTTTGGGATAATCTTTTATGCGCACACACTGTGCACTTCACCAATGTAAGCATGGACGATGGTAGGCATAATGGCAGGCGAGGTAGTTTCTGGGAGTATGTCTGGCACCTTCACAGTTGCCATTAGTGATCCAAAGAGCACTAGGTGTAAATAATCATAACACAAAATTGTAGATTGTAGCACGCTAAAACAAGCCAGTTCACACACAGCTAGCTTGTATTCACTGCAATTCTCATCTTCCAAGATAATAGAATTAATTAAATGAAGTACTGTACTATATTTTTGTTGTTTTACTGATAGTAATTTAAGAATATGAATAAACAGAATTACAAGAACAAAAACAAACATTTAAATGAGTTATGTGTGTCGTGTAGTTTATAAAACAATTGTTGCCCCTCATCATCCCAATTTAGCTTTCACAAAGTAGGCATGGAAGTTTACTAGTACTTTTTACAAAGGTAATTTGATTGTAGTCAAAGCATATTACACTACCCTGAGATGTAACAGACTAGCTCATCTGCATTCTTTTGCCTTCCGATGAAATATGAAGCTCTTCAATGCTACTTCTACAACTATATGTTTAAGTATGCCTTGGGATTGTTTTATATGCCTCTTATCAACAATATGTAGTTGTCTCCCAGGGCAGTGTTTTAAGCACTTTTTTTTCCTCATAACTAAATTTATTCGGCAATGCAGTGGATGACCCCTCTATTTGCTGCTGTGGTAACAATTTCTAGTTTATTCATCTCCATCTTGCAATTGTGTCATCATAGACTACCATGTATGCTTTAAGTTTTCAATTACAAAAATTATACTAGGAAGCATATTCCAACCATTCTCTTAACAGAACAATCTGCAGTTCTGACAGTAAGATGCAGGTCTCTGTTCCATATTTGCCCATGGACTGATCACATGGTCAATATTTTTGGAACTAATTACCGAGTAACATAATAGAAGTAGGATTCTTCGATTGTTTCAAGCGTAGGTTTAGGCATATACTATATATGAATGAGATTGGGTGGATATAAATAAGAGTCTCCTCATATAGGCCAATAGGCCTTCTGCAGTCACCTTCGTTCTTATGTTCTTAATATATAACCTATTTAGAAGTGTTAACCTCTTTCTGTTTCAGTGACAGGAGTAAGGCCATATGGATATGTCACAGTGAATAATTTGTGAAGTTAACCATTTACACAGAAATCACAATAACGTGATACATCAAATAAACAAATCCACAAGGGCCGTGATAAGGGTTAAAACCTATGTCTAGGATGATCCCAGACGCACCTTAGTTAATTGCGCCGCGACATGGTAAAAGAATTGCAACTGGAATTGCTACTGCTCTCACACGGATCCCGCATTCTCTCCGAGACAAACTGGGGATTTTACACAATTTCCCCATGCACCCAGGCTCTGTCAATAAGCTGTTCTACCCCTTTGCCCTTACTACAATACACACAGAAATAACAATAGCATGATACATCAAATGAACAAAGCCACAAGGGCCCCATGATGAGGGTTCAAACCTACACCCAGGATGATCCCCGGTTTGTGCCTCGGAGACTGCGGGATCCGCGTGAGGGTAGTAGCCCTCCTGGTTGCAATTCTTTTTACCATGTCGTGGCACAATCGACTAAGGCGCATCTGGGATCATCCTGGATATTGGTTCGAACCCTCATCACGGCCCTTGTGGATTTGTTCATTTATAAACCATTTATCTTTTCAATGGTTTTAGAATATGATTGGCCAGGTAGAAATTTGAATAAGTAATTCACTTCTGGATGGGACTATGAATAACAAAGTGTGTAGTATTAAGTGTTCTTTATCACCATGGTCTTCCTCCTATCCAGAGGTCTTGCTTCCCTAACATCCCTTGATAAATTCTGTGGGGGTGGATCTGATACTTTTGTCATCGCTTTTCATGTCCTTTTACTCGTGTTAGTATCTTGAATGTCCTGGAATATTTTAGTTTTGTACCACAGATGGTGCTAAATAGTGTTCCAGGAGTATTTAATGCACACCTTCTAGGTCATTAGGGGCAACACCAAAATGGCTGGTAATTGAGCAAAATTTGGCTGTCTAGTACAGTACTGTATCTGCTAAAATGAGGGACCTCTTAGAAGAATGTCATAATTTTCGGGATCAGAAATTGTGCTCTTCTACTGTTTTTTGCATCATGTCTCCCAATAAAATCCTCAGTGAATCAGATTCCTTTGCCATCGCTTGTCTTGTTGCTCTTGTATTAGCAGTGAAAAAAAATATGCCAAGCCATGAAAACTTGTATAGCAATGAAATCTAGAAACATTTCAGTATTCTGTATATAGCTTTCTGGGTTTAATGCTTTCTTTTGAAAATTGCCTACTTCACTTGCTGTATTTTAACTAGGTGCATACCTGGAGTGGGTTATGGGAGTTCTAATCAACATACCCAGCCTGTGGACAGGCTTGACTTTATAACAGGAGAAAATAAAACCATTAATTAAAAAAAATGTTATATTTTGCACTATTCACAATATGTACAATACTTGCAAAACCCACCAAAGCTGTTAATAGTAAATGAAACAGCATATTACCACAAAAATCAACTTTGCTATATGTGAGTGTAATCATTTGCTCACGAGACAATTTTATACAGAAAATATACTTCAACTGCAAAATTGTTGTGCTTAGACACGCTGGCTGTCGAGTTGTTATTTATAGAGGTGTTCCTCTGGATGTTATACCTCGTAACCCTCCATACCCCCAAAGAACTAATGGGACTTCTTTCCTTCATCCATTTATTGAGACTAATTTTAATTCACTCAATCACTTTCCTAGTAAAGCTATCTTCAGACGTAAAGCTTTTGTTGCCAGCAAAAGTATTCAGTCTTTATTAAAACCCCTTCCACTACCCTTACAGTTATTATATTATTACTTTTATAGATTATTTCACACTGAAAATTAATATTGTGAGCCTTTGGGAAAAGGATCGAATAGTGAAGAATAGTGGATGTAATGTAACTATAAGGGTAGTGAATGGAAGCAGTCCCATTAGTTCCTTGGGGGTATGGAGGGTTACGAGGTATAGCATCCAGATGAACACCTCTATTAATAACACCCAGTTCCCAGAATAGCACGATTACAGAAAGGTCACATGACCATAATTCCGTAGAAGACTTTACCGCAGGGACATCAGCAGTAGGAATTAGAGGTGACGTGGTCAGGAGGTCAAGAAGGATAAGAGGACTGGACCCAGGATAGCCTCACTAGACATTGTGATGTAAATCTCACACTCAGACCTTGACAAAGCACTCGGGCGAGTGCAAAAGACTTGGTGTAAATTTCTTACATAAATTTCACAAGTGGGGGTTTTTATCCTATGTTATGTCTATAAGAAGGCATTACCATTACTTACTACTCGTAATGCCACCTTGCTTTCTTTAACTGGTGGAACAGGTGGCTAAAGCCTACCAAGAAATTAAAGTTTTATTTGTATATTTTTTTTGAGCTGGTCCCCACAGTTTATGCACTGATACCTTCCCCCAGATCCAATACCATCTCAGACTTTTTCATGACCTACAAGTGCCGGAATCCTGCCGTCCCCAGATTTTGAAACTGAGGGTGTCTGATAACAAACCAAGAACACCCAACTTAAAACACCCGAAGTCACAAAAACTCAAAAGCACTCGAGAAGTAATTATCCAAAAAATGCATCACACTGGGATGCCTTCAAACACTCGAGAAATTTTTGATCAAAACGATTACCAAACAAAATGCAACACTATCCCTAAAAAGAAAAAAATACACTCCACTGCTTATCCCTCCTGTCAATAGAGGGCAGTGCAAGTTAACCAGGCTCAAGCACCACCCAGTCCTTCACACTTCTCTGGTACCTTTGCCATCTAATTCTGTTCCATAGTTTGGTGATGGGTTTCATTGCTTTTTTTTCACCGGTTTTTCTGCATACTTTAATCAGTGTTTACATGATTGTTGTTGCATATACACATATACCAAGAGATCCATAAATCTCTAACTAAAGGGTTCTTCCTTCCACAATCATGTAAGTACTGAATGCTGCATGCCAATATCAACACCTCATATCACACATGCCACTTAACACAAACAAGACAAAATAAATAAATAGTTTTGATCAAAATAAAGGATGAGATACCCAATTTAATATAAATAGTAATATATAATCATACTGCAATTACCTATGTACACCTATAACCACAATTATCTGCCAGTTTCATCATAGGAAACTTATTTCAGTACAGTACTGAATTATGCAGTTAGCAGCCAAAGCAATAATGTAGAAGATGCCTGCAATATAATGGTAATGCAGCATTACATTACCATTACTGTAGTTGAAATCTGAAGATAATATATCTCACTATAGAAAACTAAAATAAATTTATATTTAATGGAATTATTCTATCAAATTCTGCTGCTAAGTTAAGACACCAGCCATAGGAACTCATTCTCTTTGCAAATTGTGCTGTGAATTCCACAGCTTTGTATAATACCCATCTTGAACAAGCAGGTGTTCATGTGTGCCCTGCTCTGCAACACGACCCTCGTCCAAAACAAGGATTTCGTCAGCATCAATTATGGTTGACAGACGGTGAGCTATACAAATAGATGTTCTTCCTTCTGTAGCATATCTCAAGGCACCCATTATACTCTGGAAGAAATTTGGTTTCAGTTGTTTTGAGTAAGAAAGGAGATCATGTACAGTTGACAAAGTGCAGGTAATTTTTTTTGTTTAGACTGGATGGATGTAGAGGTCGGACAAAGAGAGCATGGGAAATAATTATTCAATGTTCATGTAATTTTTAAATGGCAATCTCAATAAATGCAATACTTCTATATTTTCCTACAATAGGATTTGGTGCATTAACCCCCAACCTCTCAGGCAAAGCTGGGAAAACAATGTTGATGTAACAATGAATCAATATGATCATCCATTGATTAAATGTTAGTCGAGTATGTTTTGCCTCTTGGACAAGTGGAATACAGTGTAACTAGTGCAGCTGCATCACATGCACACTGTGGTTAAGTATTTATTGCACTTCCAGTCAACACACAATGATAATGTATACATTACTGTTCAAGTATCTCCATAATGGTCAGCTCTTCTAGTTTATTAGATATGTTGGGTGTCAGACTGCACCAATAAGAAAAAGTGGATACCTATTGCCATTGTCGTGCCATATTTTAATGTGTCAGTTCTTATCAACTTTACCTACAATGCTACAATGCTGTCCACATTTGTTTACAATTACTCCAACATGATATAATTATCTGAAACACTAGAATCAACAAGGGATCAACAATCAACAACAACTATTCACAAATGACACTATACACTCATCAAAACATTACCTTTCAAAATAGCACTGTTAACAAAAAATAAATGACCATGTCACATGAATTCAAGGGATCCATAGATAAGCCTTCCAATGCACAGGGAGATCACATTAACGCGATATATCGATGAGAAAATCAGTAGAATCCGTGATGAGGATTCAATCCTATGCTCAGGGTATTCCCCAAGCACACGCCATAAGACAACCAGGCCACAACATTGTCAAAAGGATTGCAACCTGGGATTCTTCTGAATCCACGAGGGTTCCTGAGACTTCCACAGAATCTGAACCAGTGTCTCAACCCCCCACCCCTTCCCTGATGCACTCTAGCTCTGTCATCCAGGAATTCTAACTCTAGCACTTTCTCTTTTAATGCACAATAATATATTAAGTATATCAACACAAAATATAACAAAACAATAGATATAAACTGGATAAGTTAGATTTAGGAATGACCTGGGGAAGGACTTCCTCTTTTTTTTCTTTTCTTTTCTCTTAGCCTTGCAAATTTTACACAGACTAGGTATGACACACTGAAAATGGTGAATTTTTTTTAGCTCTCAAAAAAACAATAATACTGTATATAATTGCCAAGAAAACCTATTTATATGTGGACCATTTTGCAATGCACTATATAAATACTTTTGTAATGTACCTGTTCAGTAATAGAATCAAGGGAGGAAGTCGCTTCATCAAAGATCAGTATAGGTGCATTTTTCAAAATCGCTCGTGCAATTGCTACCCTCTGCTTCTCTCCACCAGACAACTTCAGGCCCCGCTCGCCCACCTGTCATAACAGTTGTACATTGAAATCTAATAATATTGCAGAAAAGATATACAGATGTACTTTAAATTGATGTGTTTATGCTGATCACCTTTTAAACCATGTCCTTGAACCAGGACACGGTTTAAAAGCCTTTTAAACCAACTGGTCTTGTTTCGAGCCTAGTTACTGTTGAAAAAGTGTTGAGTGTAATAAAATGGCACTTTCTTTGCTGTCTCAGTTGCATCCTGGAGCTTATTGCATTGGTATTGCAGGGGCCCCCTCCACGTATATCAGGCTCCCGAGACTTGTGCAGCCTACTAGGTACAAAGATCATAAAAACAGTCCCAGCATGGAACATAAATGTCCAAAGGAAAATAAACTACTGTACTTCACTTTGAGAAGCAGAAGCAAAGGTCTGCTCAGGAGTGATATGAACAAGGCAATATCAGACTTGTGAGTAATGAGGGTGGCTGGTGGGGACCAATGGTGGCCTAGGCTGATACCTAGTGATGCTTTGGGGAGGGGAGGGGGGGGGAGAGTTAGAGCAAAGATTGCTTACCTATTACAAACTACTGTTTGTCTTGTGTTATTTCATTTACTCCCAAGAGCTGTGTAATATTTTCCTTGCCTGTGACTTTTTGCATGGTCTTTTCTAGTTGTGAGTTGATCTTTTATTCCCACGCTTTCCTTGGTTCTTTGAAGGAACTAAATTGTGATCCTAACTCCCAAGAAGGTCATGCAAGTCTAAGGAGCCTGTTATCAACAGAAGCCTTACAATACCATTGCCCCAAGCTCCAGGAAGCCAGCAGAGAAAGAGAGTTAAATGTATAAACAATGAAACCATAAGCCAATGAAAAACTAACTAAAAATAATACAACATTAACTGGTTATAGTTCATCACATTAAGTGATCAAAGGAGGTTACCCCAGCTTCTTACCCTAGTTCTAATGATACAAAAGTTATGATAAAGCATCTGCTTTACCTTGGTCACTTAACCTGGTCACATTCAAACAAAGAGGACCTTATTATACACAAAAATAATTAAAAATTAATAATTACTCTATGTATCTATGGTGAGAGGTTATCCTCTATGGTGAGCGAGCACTCCTTACCTGAGTATTATATCCCTTGCTCCAGCTGATAATGGAATCATGGAGCTCGGCTATCTTTGCAACCTTCTCCACTTCGCTGCTATCCTTAGAGAGGTCACCATAGTGCAGGTTGTATGCTATGGTGTCATGGAATAACACACAGTCCTGCAGTTTAGACCAAACATGATAAACTTTATAATTTTGTGGTTATACACAATTCAAAAAACCTTAATATATATAATATTGCAGCAATTTTAAAACTTGTTGTTTAAAGATGTGACAAATCACAAAAGAAAATGTGGCTGTTGAAACCAGTAAGACCTATAACTAAATTATTCTGTGATAGGTAATCAAGATTTGAAAGATATAAAAGGATATTATGGTCCAAATTAACCCATTCACTTACCTGAGGGACTACAGCAATGACCCTTCTTAAACTATCCATGGTTACAGCAGCAATATCTTGATTGTTGATTGTAATGCTACCACTGTTGGGTTCATAGAAGCGATACAAGAGACGCACAATTGTGGATTTCCTTGAAGGTGATAAAAAATTTAAGATTTTATTGAAAAAATCAGGAAATTTGCACCCAAATATTTTCATTGTTTACAACACAAACTATAAGAGAAACTTAATTTCATATAAAATTTATAGCAAGAAAAGTGGGGAATATGGAACTACAAATAAAGTACTGTATAGGCAAAGTAAACTAGTAGTATGAAGGTGGATTTAATACTTATTTTGTCAGTAATGCTCTACCATTAGCGGTTGTTGTTTTCTACACTGACAATACTTTAATTCTACTTCCTTTATATGGCAGTATCTGTGGTGGTGGTGATGAGCATTTCCTCAACCCTTACAGTCCTTTAAATGAATGCTGTTTTCTCCCTACACAAAACATAGATATTTTTTCAGGAAGCTTCCCAGACCTAATAATATGATGATATAGCCAAGCTTGAAGAATTGCAAGAGGTCTCCGAGACCCATGCTGACCTACCAGGGGCCAGGATCTGGCTCTTTCTATGAGGCAAGGAAGCTTGGGGATCAGAGATCTACCCAAAACCAAGAAAAACCCACCATAAATGTTAGGCAAAACAAAAACTACTGTTTGAAAGAAATTAATTCTGAGGAAAATAAAGAAAACAATCAATGAAGCAGATTGGGTTGGCTTATTTCTTATTTGATATTGTGACTTATTCTCTGCAAACAATAACTTAAAAATGGGAAGTACATTTGCCTTCCATCAAAATTAACCTGTAGCTGCACTTTCATGAACGAGGCAAACTTACAATGTAATGACACAACAATTTAAATTAATTAGAATGTCAAAATGGTATTTCTCACCCTGATCCTGAGCCTCCAACAATAGCGATCTTCTTGCCAGCAGGAACAGTGAAACTCAGGTTATTTAAGATAAGATTCTCTGGTGTGTATGCAAAGCTTACATTTTTAAAAGTTATTGTTGCCTCTTCCTGAGAAATTCTCAGTGGAACTGCAGATTGGGCATCCTGTTGGAAAATACATGGAATAAATAAAGTAAAGAAGTCAAGTTTTGTCATGTATTCCTTTATAAACAGACCAAAAGATAATAAAACAAACCAAGCTAAGATATAATCGATCACATAAGAGCCAAAGAAAGGCATCCCTGTGCAGATGGCCATCAGGGGCAAGGCAATCACATACAGTGGTTTAGTAAGCACAGTGTTGGGAGGGTGAAAGGGTTGCTATGATATACCGGATTAGGGTGTAACTCTTGGGTAGCATACAAGGCAACGATGACAAGAGAGAAAAGTGAGAGTGGGATGCTGTACGGGTCATTATAACCCATTTTGACCCTAATATACTGGTATGTTATCAAAGAAATATGACTACTGTATTTCTATATTAATAGGACTATATTTTATTTGTACTGTATATATATATAGATATATATAACAACAAATGTGACACTAGTAACAAAACAATGTCTGCAACATATGCAAAACTGATAAATGTTTGAATAGCTATCATAAGCCTAGAGAAAAAAAGAGGCTTTCAGAACACTATGATATGTAAAAAGGCTTATGCCAGATTTGAGGGAAGTCAGCTACAATGAAAGGCTGAAAGAACATAAACCTTATAACATTGGAGAAAAAACAAAATAAGGAAAATATGATTATGTAACTCAACTCCACAGGGAGTTGAGTTAGAGAACAAAGAAATCATGTTGAAAATTATATATGATACAATTAGAAGCCAAAGGTAGAAGCTAAACACAGATGTATCAGAGATGTTAGGAAGAACTTTTTTTAGTTAAAGACTCCCAAACAAATGGACTGGGCTACAAGAAGTGAACTGAAGCAACAAATACAAAAGAAAATATGATAAATAACAAGAGGACCCATTTCTCAGAGAAGAATTGACTGCTTTCTGGGCTTCTTTCGATACTTTTCTAGTCCTAGTATTGGGTTCATCTCTGATTCCCATGTGATCCTCACCCTATAGAGGAACAGGGAGAATTTACAAGGGCACCTTTTCTCAGGTGGGTTGAGCATCTCACTGGTGTGTGACATGACTAGTTTCCCCGGTTCTTGTCATTGTGAAAGCTGAGGGAAGCTACAGAGAGGACTAGTTGTGGCAAAATATTTTGGAGACATTATTGGCTACCACACTATAAATTGAAAGAGCATTTTCAGATCTGACAATTTAAAAACGTAACTAGAAAGCAATTTGTTACAGAAGCTTACTCACCATAATAGCAGCAGGCTGTTTCATCAATGTAAACATGGTTTGCATGTCAATGAGAGCCTGGCGGACCTCACGGTAAACTGACCCCAGGAAATTTAGAGGCAAGGACAGTTGGAACAAAAGCCCATTAACCATGACAAGGTCACCAACCGTTAAATTACCTGCAATGTATAAACATAATACTGTAAAGTAGAATACAGTACAGTACTATAATTCTAAACAAATCATAATATTCCAAGATATGATCATCATTAGTTTGCTTACTATATGCTCAAAATGTAAAGAATGGCACACTAATATGATGACAACAGTTTCAGCCATAATACAGTGTATCAGCCTATATAGCTGATTTCTTGCTCCCTCTGGAAATTCTCTATACTGCACTACAGGATGTGACCTCATGCAAGACCTCTCTCAGGCATTTTAATAACACAAAAATACAAAATAAACTATGAAGCATACATCAAATACATAAATGGCAATTCATAAATGCAACAGACAATTCCTGTACTTAACAAGAGTACTAATATGATGATAGTGCTTCTTCAACAACTGGGAAGCTATGCAAAATAGCTATTTATATCATTATTTTAATGTTACTAATCAGTAGTAATCAATGCTGGGGAGATCATTAACCTATGTTAAATGATTATTATAATGCTTACTTAAGTGTTATTAATTGACCATGTCACTGCAATTCCCAAGACCATAAAGACTTTATAGTCCTAAACTTTAAAACAATTCTCTATGATCATTTATGAGTTTTTGTGACAATTTTATATTTGTTAATGTTTTCCTCCGCTGTGGGTTAGTCTCTCATCCTACATGCTTCGCTCATTATCTGAAGGGCTCAAATTATGATATACTGTACTGAGACAGTCTCACAAACCTGCTGTGCTAGATCTGGCACTGCAATACCAGTACTGTATTCTGGTATTTATAGGGAACGTCTTAGGAACCCACTTCAAAAGAAAATAAACAAAACCAATTCCTTTGGGAGATTATGCATATTGGTTGTATTAATGATATTCTTTGTCTGGGAACACTTATGGCCTAGTATCAATTTACTTGACCATACTGCCCATTAGAGAAAGAAGACTCAAGCCAATGCTGTATTTTAATTACAAAAAGACACACTTGAGTGTCTTTCACAAACAACAATCTGTGCATTTCTCAATTTCTGCACCCTGACCATATAGTACCAGTGCCCAAGCACTGGGGAGGCTACTGAGAGGGCCATTAGAAAAAAGTTAGGGACCCCCCCTGATCTATAATTTTTTGTGCTACTTCCTTAGTTGATTACCTGCAATAATTTCCTTGGTTGCAAGGACCATCATGGCTGACAGTGCAACACTGAATATTGCATTCTGACCCCAATTTAACAAGGCCAAGGATGTTGCAGTTTTCAAGGAGGCTCGCTCATACTTCTTCAGGTACTTATCATATTGGTCAGCCTCGTAGTTCTCATTGCCAAAGTACTGAAAGAGACATCACCATTACCAAATATGCTCATGCAAATCCGAGTTAAACAATCTGATTTGCAAAATAACAAATAAAACTGAGAACTTTTTTGAACCTATGTATAATATTTGTTACTTATTAGGCTAATGACATAATACAATTAGCACAACCTTCATTCAGTCTCCACTTTAACCTCTTTTATCGCTCTAATCTCACACTGGATGATCCATGTCTGAATCAACGTACTTGTGTTCAACCCACCTTAACAGTCTCATAGTTGATTAGTGAGTCTATGGCTCTGTTCCCAGCTTCATTCTCAGCTTTATTCATCTGTACACGAAAATGTGTGCGCCACTGTGTGATGCTCAAGGTAAATGCCGCATATGCTGCAATTGACATTACTGTTACAGCAGCAAACTCCCAACCACATTTATAGGCCTGAAAAGCAAACAATAAGAATTTTATTTTTATAATAAATTGGCATATAAATACAGTTTATGATTCATTTTATTCTAATCAACAAATAAGGATAAATACAGTACTGTATATATTTTTTTTTTTCGTGAGAAAAATCAGTCCCACCACATTTAGGTGTAGAGCAGGTAAGGTTAGTCTATAGGTAACTTATTTTACCGCAGCATTTGCACAACTAAAATAATGTTAGCTAAGGATCTTTGACAATCAATAAGCTACTTGCAGTGCACAATTTACTAAGCATCACATTTCCCGTAACTGTGAAATCATTAACTTTTGGGTTCTTTTTCATTCATTGTCCCATTATCAACCTTCCTAGGATGGGAAGGCATTAATAGGATGTTTCTGAAGGATACAGAATGTTTCTTGTTAATGCAATACAGTGGTCATTACTCTTTTCAAATTCCCATTGTTAGTAAGTCCATCTACTCATGTTCACTACATATTTGTCACCCACACGACCTCTCTTCTGCACATGCTTCCCGATTATTTTCAGGTTGTAAGACAATTAGTCTCTGTGAGCAGAAAGAATACTATAATATGCCTGGTGATCCAACAGCATATTATAGTATTAGTGATCTATAGCAATGGAAATTTGTGATGGGCACCAACTCAGTGGCCATATACCCCAGAAATTAACAAAAATCTAGGACCACATCCAGACACCAAAAAGGCACCAACTAAGCTGGATCATGGGATCGCTGCATCAATACTCAAAGTTAAAAGATTTATACATGTACATGTGCCGGACCAACCGGGCTGTGGTGGGTATGTGGGCCTGTGGGCCGCTCCAAGCAACAGCCTGGTGGACCAAACTCTCACAAGTCAAGCCTGGTCTCGGGCCGGGCTTGGGGAACAGAAGAACTCTCAGAACCCCATCAACCAGGTATCATGTACATTTATACATGTATGTCCCCAGTGTAAATTGTTTATCATTTAAAAAATAAAGCCATTAATCTAATTTTAGGAACTTAATATGATTTTGTTTCAAACACACTGCCAAAGACCAAATAATTTATAGCAGATTTTGAACATAAAGAACACAAATATTTTTGGCATTTTTTAAATATACTGTATTCGTATATGTAAAACATTGCAAAACTTAGCAAAAGCTAATTTTATATTAAATTCAACTGAATGTTTTTTATCTAGAAGCTAGAGTGTTGCGGAGCTAAAGGAAAGTTGAGGATCATTTAAAACTAGCAAATTAAACTCATTGTACATGAGCTATAAAACAAATCACATGAATCATTATTCATATTATAAACTTAAAGTAATATGAAACAAGAGATTCTTCCCTATATAGAATAGCTGCAAATAATCTCTACATTCTTTGAAACAAAAACCAATAGGAGGATTTGAACTAACCATTCCAAATATTCTTGTTAGTTTGATCATTATATGCATGCATATATATGCACATATTACAAAATGTATGTATACAATAGATTGGTAGGCAAAAATTACACTTACCAATATCCCTGATACAAGGCTCACTTCAAATATTGTGGGAACAACATTGAACACGAGCGCCGACATCACAAAATTGATTCCTCGACTGCCTCGGTCAATAGCCTTGGACAGTGCCCCAGTCTGCCTGTTCAGATGAAAATTCAGGTCAAGACTATGGAGATGCAGAAATACATTCCTTGCAATTTTCCGGATGGAATCCTGTGCAACTTTAGCAAACACAGCATTGCGAAGCTCGTTGAAACCAGCAGCTCCTGTACGGGCAATTCCATCTGTTGATGTACTACGTAGTCAATTAGACAGTTTTACTTATAAAATATGGCAGTATTACCATATCGAATTACAAAGAATTATTAATTTTGTATTGCAAAGCCTTCCTTTACATAAGAATTCTAACTGAAGACCATGATTAAGTTCCTTCTGACCTATTTTACCAATAAGAAAGCTGATTATAAAATACAGGGTTCATTTCAATATAAATGGTTACATTTACAATTATGTAGTAATGCATATTGTGTACTAGTTTAATCTTAGTAGAAAACACCTACACACACACACACATACCAAAACTTGACTGAAATGAAATGAAACCAAATATCAGCAGTGGCTTGCAAGCTGATCTTATTGAGTTATGCTCTCATTGCGGTAATTGAGTTACTCTCACTGAGAGCAACTCACTGAGTTATGCTCTCCACTGAGTTCCCTACCCCCCACCCACTTTTTTAAAGCATTGAATAATTTGCAAGATTATAGAGTTTAAAGATATTCAGAGCATGTTATACTAACAGTGATCTGAGTAGGTTCAGTGCCAAGGCTTAGCAGTTACCAAAGGAGCCTTGCTCAGAAAATACTGATGCACACAAAACGAGAAAAATTTGATTAGCTAGCAATTTTCATCTAGAAAACATAATTTCAAGTCTTTCAAGAAATATATGATAATTAAAACCATGACACTCACATCCAATCATAAGAGATATAGCAGTTGTGGCCACAGTTGATGATGGGTCTGTCATGGCCAGCACATCTCCAGTGTACTCATTCAAATAATTAATGGCATCCTTAAATATGAAAGGTACCTGTACGTTGACCAGCTTAGCTGTAACCAAAAGTCCAAGAGCAGTCATCACACGTGCTTTAACTGCTGGGCTTTCCTGAAACATGGAATTTCAAATCTATTTACTGTATAATGAAGAGTGGAGGATACTGTAAACAAAAGAATACATAGGAGGCACAGAAATGTAGAGAGAATGACATAAAGAGAAGGCACATATCTGTTAAAATGGGCCTTCAGTCATCCTGTCATATCTCAGGATGACTGAAGGATGGTACATAACAAGAAAGTGGCTATTGATGGTGCTCAGTATGTAAGCCTTCAATTTGATATGCAGCTAATGTAATGAGAATTCAGACAAGAAAATAATTACATTTAGCTTCTTGTTGATTATGTTGACAGTTTGGAGAGAAATAAGATTTACATTTTTTTTAAGAAAACACAGCAAAACACTGCTATCAAATTCAAGTGTTGAATGTAATGAAGCACCCTTTGTGCTTCATTACATTCTGAAGGCCTCTGAAACCCACCCAAACCAACCTGGACCCAAAACCAGAAGCTGGCTCTATGAGATGAGGGGGAACTTGGGAATTAGAGATTAACCCAAAACTAAGAAAAAACTAAATACTGAAAGTATAATCATATAAAAACAAACAACTGCTTAAAAGGAAAAGTAACCCTGATGAAAACAAGGTAAGCAATCATTGCTACAGAAAAACACCCTCTGTCATTCACCTTACCCCTACCAGATAGTAGCCTATCTAAGTCACCCAAGGTCTCTGACAGACAACCACCTTATTTGCGAGCCACCCGAGCAGAACGCCACTCCATCCCCAACTCTTATAGAAAAGAACTAGACAGAAGTCCAGTGCTGAAAACAGCATATTCCCAAGGGTAAAAATATTCCAGAACTCAACAGGCAAAGTGACAGTGGTAGCTAGAGTGATCATCATCATGTAAAAATGCCAAATCTCAGCCTGAAAAATTACACACAGCACCATCGGGCATAGAGGTGGGAGATCCATAAAGCATTTTCATTTAATACAGCTTATTTCTTGCCAACCATTTATACAAACCTTAAATTAAGAGGCTAACCTTTGCATTGTTATACTAATACATCCTTATACAGTAAGAGTTTAGTAATCTGAATTTCCAGTAACCCCACTTTGAGAAACGGGCATGAATTTGCATTCATCACTTTCAAGTACGACGTGAGCATCTGGAGAAACATCAGAAATAACTGAATAATCGGTGATACAAAAAAATAGCAAATTTATTTATTTTTGGCCATATGTATGTACATAGCCATAACAGCCAAGTCAAATATATGGACCTGACAAAGCCCTTCCCTGGGTGTGAGTGTCAAGGATACTGGCAGCCTGGATCATCTGCAGACAAGCAGGGTGGCCATGCACAGAAGAAGAATCATAGCTGAACAAACACTGGCCCAGAACTTGAACCACTCGACAAAGTAAGGCAGATGCAGCCACAGACAAGAACAAATGCTGACTTGCCCCAAGCACATCCTTGGGAATATGTAACACAAGGCTCAACCTCACATGGGGAAGAGCCAGGTATGATTACCTTGTAATGATTTCGGGGCTCAACGTCCCTGCGGCCCAGTCCTCGACCAGGCCTCCTTGTCACACAAGCTAACTATCACTCCCAATTAACAAGTCTCGCAAAGAGAAACAAACTCACTAGAGAGGAGTCAACTTGTAGAGGAGGAAACCTGAACCCCTCAGAGCTGTTAACTCTGGTGGGGCAAGGGAGATGCACGCTGGCAACTACGGAAGATAACACTGACACACAGTCAAGGTAAAATGTTAATAACTATAAGGCACATATAATTCTCACAAAATGCAACCATAAAGCAGGAAATAGAATTAAAATTGCCAGCCCCACTTATCTGAAAACATGAAGCTAACTGTAGGCCCAGCAGAGGTGCAACCTTGACTGCACCCAGCAAGTGAATGAGGTGACCTGAACTGACATAGTAGTCAGCTGCAATATGTTTACCCCATATTAAAGATTGGTTACCTTATTTTTACCAGGGTTACTAATTTCTTTTCAAGCAGTTGTTTCAATGTGGTTAAACTTTCTAGGGGATTTTTTCTTTACTATGGGTTGATCTCTTATCTTCAAGTTCATTTTACTTGGGAGAAAGTCAGATTCTGGGCCTCATAGGCTTGGTGTGATCCCCTAAGACTTGGCAACCCTAGTGATATAACTCTAGGGGAGTTAACACAAATATAAGGGGACCCTCTCAGAAATTATAGAGAATAATTAGAGAACCTAAAAAAACTGGCCAATCTGATTATTACTTTCTTCATAATAAATACTGATAAATTATCCTCATGTCCTCATTATGTTAACAATTAGACAGGACATTGGGTGTCTGCTATAGGTATACTGTACAGGTACAGTACTTACTTTTGGCCAGACATGTGATGCCAGAGCCCCCAGCATCTCCCGCCCCGTCACTTCCTTTGCAGCAACCCCAACATAGTCTCTTGTGAGAGCACTGGCTCCTGGGTGAAAACAGTTGCGCACACCAAGTCCCTGGTGCATCTGCCATGCTTGAAACTTTCCTCTCAGAGGCCCTGGTGTTGAAGACCATCCTGATGTGCTTAATCCTACCTGAAGACAATGTTTCATATATTAATCCCTAACAATTTTAACTTCATATTAAGTGAAGGTACAGGATATTGATTTAAAGACATTTTAACACATTCAGATTTATTTTGTTCGTCAATCTTCTAATTATAAAGTAATAACTCATACTATAATCTTATCAATTATTCAAAGTGCTCTCTTCATCATTTAAGAGCTTACCTGCATAGGGCAACTGTATTGCCTTATGCATTTACTATTGTAATTAAAAAATAATGAGAATGTTAAGACATAAGTTCAATTACTAGATCTAGCAAATGAGAAAACAGTACAAGCTGTATGTAGGGTGTTGGGTCACAGGAAATGCCATGTGACCAACAGTGTTTATGAATTACAAGTTGGGGAAAGTGGGGGAGGGTGTCCTAGTTGCAGTATAGGTTACCACTTTCTCCTGGCTAGCAGGCAATCACTTCTTTTTCTGTGGAGAAGGGATAACTGTACAATCATAGATTTTTGAGTGGAAAGATGCCTCACCCATCTTCAATGTAGTGTTGACAAATGTTGTTTGTTCCTTGCCTGCCAGGTCATGAGGATAAATACTCCTTGATGTCATATAATTTAGTATTGTTTGTAGCCTGCCATTTATCTTTAAAATTTTCACAATAAGTATTATTAATTATTGAGTGAAAACCTGAAAGTGGGATGGATATTCCTGCGTGGGTCTTAAGCCTCTGGCTGGCCCACTAAATTTTATGATACATGCAGTATTTGAATGGCATTTTTGCCCGACATATCACCTATTCTACCTTTTTATAGCTGCTAGACATACAATTTTCATTACAATGGATTAGAAGGGTTAAAAGTTTTAATAACCAATAGAGAACATTGAGTCAATAATAAGAGAGGAGTGTTGACTCAGTTTCCCCAAGACATATAAAATTGAAAAAAAATCTAGTATAAAAATAGTTGTCAGTGAAAGTTGGCTGTAGACAAAAACTGTACTGCATACTGTATTATTAAATAACTAAGAAACCTATTTCACCAGAAGATTTAGATTCATCTGTAATAACAGCAGTAAATTGTGAGTTGATTAAAATATTCAATACAAGGCTGTTATAATATACACCCCCTTATCATACCCTTTGCTCAAAAACTACAATCATTCATCTTCTATCATCTTTATGTTTTCTAAAAGCATGCAACATTCTCTCAATAAATCCTTACCAACACCAAATGCTTCTGAACATTCCTGTAAATTTTCTGCTTTGAGTAGGCACATTTGCAACTGGAGAGCCTTCTGCTCAATGACATGAGCCAGGCACTTTGCCACCAGCTTCCTATGACTAACTCCATCAAGGTCCTCATATACCACCTGCCACTGACTGAGCTCCTCAGGTGTCATCAAACAGATGGTCATTGCAACCTTTAAGTTCCATGATGGACCATCCATGCTTATACCAAGGTTTTTATTAATATGATGAGCGAGTATTATTTTGTTTTTTTCACACAGTGAAGCTTTTCGCATATGATTATTTATGATACATGTTACTGAGGATATAATTTCATTCAATTCCACAGGAATATAAGTGTGAGGATTTTCTGGGATAATAAACCCATATTCCACATAGAGTTTAATATTATCATGAGGGCCATAATTAATAAAGACCTGTTCATAAGGGCCAAAAGGCACCTGGGTGACAATCTCATAGCAATCATTACTTTCATTCATGCCAGTTGTTACTTGTGCACTACTCGAGTGATTCAAAAGATCAAGGAATGGTGCCAAAGCATATACATCCTCATCAGAAATAAAAGGAGTTGGATGTTTCTCTTTCAGATAAACTGCACGAGTGTTGACAGTAAACCATCCCCATTTAACATCACCAACACACAAATTTGAAAATCTTTGTTTGTACTTTGAGTTCTTTAAAAGTATTTTCTGTAAACTAGCAAAACACTGGTCAACATCTTCCACTTGCTCATAAATACGAGATTTTAAAAACTCTGGAAAAGTGCCAATTTCCTCAACTGAGCAATAAGCTGGAACAGTATACGTTTTAGGAAGACTGTCTAAATATGGCTTCCACTCTGAGATATCTCCTAAATACATGTGGTACAAAAGGAAAATTGTCAGAATTTCCATGGCTCTAAATTTTTGTGGAACTTTAATAAATCTTTGGAAGTCAGCATCCTCTAAAACTCTACAACATGTTACAAGTGCTTGTTTGGGGATGCTGACCAAAACATCTCCTGCATTAACACCAACAGTGGTCATTAGTCCTCGACCAATATTAGGAAAAAATGCCGGCCTCAACCTTGAACCAGAAGGAAGTGCGAATCCTTTACTTCTCAGCCATTGGTTAAGCTTTACTAACACAGGATTGCCATCAACAGCATAGGAGTAGATGCCTTGTTTTCTGATTCTGCGCTTCTTGTTCCTCCTGCGCCATGTCCTCCCATACTGGCTGGTGGATGAACTCTTTGACTCACTTGAATTAATCAGGGTTATTTCAGTCTTCTCTATGAAATTATCCATGATTCACCTGCACCAATATCTGTAAGGAATGGCTCTTCTTACATCTACGTTGCTCACTCTTAACAAGTAACATTTTATTTGAATTATTGTGCAATAAAATCTACAATAAAGATCAATTTTCAAACTTTTTCATTGATAAAGTAATGGTTAAGGCACCATTGGTTATTTACAGGTAAAATAGTTTTTCTGAAAAAAAGGAAGAGGAAAACAACAGCAGCATGTCAGCCAGCCTCACTCTGCTAAGCCTAACTAAACTTAGTTGAACTAAACTTAACCTATTAAAGAGTGCACCAGATGCCAGAAATAGAGACGTTAAGAATGTGGAGCAGTAGATCAATCATGTTTTAATGTCTATGGATTACAGTCAAATCACACACAGCCATTTAAACAAAACATAATTTTCCAATTGTCAAAACTGTGTTTATTTTTAGGTTAGGGTGTATTAGCTTGGGTTAGTCTGTAAGGTTAGGTTCGGTTTAGTTACATAGAGATTGGGGAGTTAGATAGGTTTCAAAAGTAGTCTTGGGTATGTGACTTGCAGCTTGGGCTACAGGGTCACTTCATATACAAGTTATATGTATAATACAACACTATTTGCCAAGATATTTTAAAATGTATTATGCCTAACTCCGCATGATCTAAGAATATAATTTTGACATTTAGAAAACAAGTTAAGAGCAAAATAGCTGTGCACTGTACGATTTGACATTGCAAGAGAATGTACCATTTACCAATATAAAGTACAAAAATAATATCCTACGGTATCATACTTTCATTTAATATTCACATCCTAAAATAGTCAAGATTCACCACTCCAATAACCACAAAACCTGTTGTGAATTTCTGCAACTATCAATTGGATTGGATTTTGTTGCCTTATCAGTTCAGAGGACAAGTCTTCCTATTACATTAAAGTTGTAACAACTTCCTTAAAGTTGTCGTGAATTTCTGCAACTATCAAGTGGATTGGATTTTGTTGCCTTATCAGTTCAGAGGACAAGTCTTCCTATTACATCACAGCTGCTAATGACACTGCAAACCATCATCAGATCTCACCTTGCTGTACACCCTGCGGCTTGATGGAAAAGTTTTCAGTTGTGTGTTGTTCCTATGATGCTTATGTAGTTGACGGGAGAAAGTGTAAGCAAGGAGAGGGAAGGCGTGAGGAGAGAAGGCGAGTTGAGAGCAGGAGCGGCGCCCCAGCATCATCAGCTGGCCAGCCATATTTGGCGGAAGAATACACTCTACTGTTTACCTCTGACGTCAGCGCGGGAGGTTTGAGTCTGAAACATTATCACACATCATTTGTCTCTTTAAATCATCAAACGCATCATCATTACTCTGTACTATTTTGTTGTTATACTTTGTAAATCGCTGGATGTCTTATGTAAACCAGGCTATGTAAATAGGTGAAGCGTATCTAATTAATTTTCGAATAAGTTTAATACAATGAAAAATACATCTCAATACATGTACTGCAACTTGCTGATATTAAATACAATCAAGCATTGCGACGAGTAGTATATTTTGAGAAAATATTTAGAGATAACTGTAAATCTATTTTTGGAAAAAAGTACACACGTGTTGTCAGAATTTGAAGTTATAACATGTTATAAGTCTTCAATCGTGTCCAGAACACTTTCGAGAAGAATTTATTGACAAAAACGAGGCTTTGTTGCTTAAATAGTACGTTTTCTACTAGAGGTTAGTGACTTAGGTAGTGTAAGACCAATATAGAAATTGAGTCATATACCGGCCCAACAACAAAGTGGAAAATACCGTGTAAGATGATTAATTATTCCCTCCCATTATACCGCTTCTATAGTTTATTAGAAACTTTTAAATGTAACTGAAGTATATTACCATGATATAGATATATTTATATTAACACTTTGTGCTGCTGTAATGCCTGGAGAAAACTGACGTTTGGGATTTGTTGCCGCGGCGGAGGAGTGTGCACGCGCGGTCGCCACCAAAACACGAGAGCGAGCGGCGAGGACGGCATTCAGCACGTGGCCGGCCGTCTGGACGTGTCTCTGGGTGCTCTGCTTGCCTACCTCCGCAGGTGACTTAACTGAGTGTGGAGAACATTTGAGTTAATGGTGCGGGGTGTGTACTACTATGTAATCAAAATGTGGCAGTTGCACTTTGGCGGAAAATGTAAATAAATGTATTTTTAGGGTGAAGTGCGTGGTTTATTGCGTGAGAGAAGAGAGACCTTTGCAGCCCGACCTGCGCGCTACAGCGCCTGCGGTGACGTGCACCACCGCCGCCGCCCTGGCCTTCCTCACGGCTATTTCACACACAGTAGTCTTCTGGTTGTGTTTCGGGAGTGTAGGCCACAATAATGTGTTGTGTTGCGCCTCGCCTAGGTAATATGGACTGTGGTAGCTGGCCGTCTTTTGGAGCAGCTTGTCTGTTTTGATAATGGGATGTCTACTGTTGTTTTTTTAAATTCTATTCAATCTGTACGGTTAAGGATCTCGAAAACGGGTGACCTACTTCCTCCGTGTGTACCTGTAGCTAAGCAGGTCGCCTTACAGGTGGATTGGGTTTCTTCGTGCATGGGGTGGATGGGTGAACATTATAGTGTACAGGCATGTATATATATTGACGGCGCTCTGTGTACTTTGCCGGAAGATTACACCTGTAGTTCTATACTGCAGATGTTCCTAGCTTCCTTGCGCCCCGAGAATACTCTGAACTATTGTATATATATATATTATATATATAATTGTGGCATGGATAATCTTATGACCGCATCCTTGCAACAAGTATAGCGTTTGTTAGTGAAAATTCAATGTAATTTTCATCCTAAAGGAAAAAGTAAAAAAAAAAGTGCATTTGCACTGTTTCTTAAAGTACTGCATCAGTTGCAAGCACTAGAGCAGAGGCGGTAACGTTTATTGATTATCTGATGATGGTTCGCAGATCTTGGACTGCAATTGTTGTGCCTATGATTGCATTTTTTTTCGCCTAGTGTAGTAAAGTTAGCTGTTGCATATTAAGTTTTAATTTAAGCACGAAGCTTAGGATTTTTAAAATCATTTTAGTTTTGTTCGTGTTCACGGAGTGGGCATCGTTATCGGGAGGCTTAATGGTAACGCTAGTAAACTTCCCGATAAATTAAAATGTTATTAAAACCCGTGTTCGTTTGACCTGTTTAATATATTATACTTCCCCCAGTAATTAACGATAACAAGGTTTGTGAGGAATCTGTACCTTATCTAGTTATACAAGTTATTTGATTTAATAACTAAAAGTAGGCATGTACAGGCCTACTACTATAGAACTATATATATACTAGTAATGAATCTAGGCCCTTCATGCCAGTCCTTGCAGCCCTCGCCCATTTATTAGCTGCAGGTTACAATATGGCTGCAACTGGCTCAGGCGCTGGACAAAACGGTTTGCTTCATTAGTTACATTATTGATGAACTTAGTTTTAACAGTTAATGTTCTCTGGCACTAAAATTCATGCTCACTGTAAAGCAAATTTGTGATGGTTAAAATTAGTCTAATTACAGTACTGTCCTTACCATTGGATATGAGATAAGCCAGTAAAAAAAAAATTGCCGAGAGTGCGAGCTTAGGCAGTATATTATCTTGATATTTTGCTTAATTGTGTAACTTGTCATACTGGAAAGTAACAAATATTACTAGTGCAACGTAGTAATTGGCACCGAATGCAACAAATGGGAGCAGAGTCACCTAGTGCTTGTGGGTATTTCTTTAACATTAAAAATGTAATATAGTATCAGAAATCTTGTTCAAATATTGTTTGACTACGGTAAATAGGGCATGCACGTGATAACCTTGCTGACACCGTCGCTCTCACCAGATGGGTGGGGCCCGGGGGTGCATAATGAGTAAACTAAAATATATAACATTGTTGATAAACGTAGTTAAGGTCGTTGGGGTTTAGTACTTGAACTGATTGTGGCATTGAAAGCCTCTCGCTCACAGGATGGGAAAGATGCCCACCCATATTCCACTATAATGGTAGAGCGAAGGACTCGCTTCTTGCAAAGTCTGCTTTAGATTCCCGAAGTTCAAAGTGATTGTATCCTAGTTCCTTGTCCTTCCCTTTAAAGTCATTTGTCGGGTTTGTTCTCTACGCGCAATAGAGAATTCCGGGTTCGAATCCCGGGCGGGACAAATGGTTGGGCACGTTTCCTTTCACCTAATGCCACTGTTCACCTAGCAGCAAGTAGGTACTCAGAAGATTACTCAGCTTGTGGGGTTGCATCCTGAGCGGGGTCAGTAAATCGACCCTGTGGGGGGGGGGGAACCTCGATAAAAGCCTAATGTGTATGAATACACTGACCTTGTCCCCCGACACAGTGAATTTGTGCCATATAATATACTTGTTTAGCGCTTCCTTTCTCGTGTTACGCTCACTTTGCTTCAGATATGTTCGTAATATATATTTCTTGCAATCGCGATTTACTTAAAATGAAGTCAATATTAAATACATGTACACATGAGTGCACAGTTTGGCAAGAGTGAAAGCCCAGATATTTATACCTACTCCCCCACTCAGAATGAGACGTTTCGTCACAATTGCACAAGAGGTAGAACCATGTGATGGAAGCAGCATTATATAAATGGCAACCCATCCTTCAAAAATTACAGTACCTAAGGCCCCTTTGGATGTAATGTAGACAATATGAACCGTTGTACCTAAAAATAAAACTCGATTTGTACTACTGTAATTCTGAAGGACGTAACACAAATGTCTTGCCTATAAACCTAACCTAGGTTAGGAATCCTAGGCCTAACCAAGAACATGTACTATACTAGGCCTTCTGTTGGACTTTGGAACAGTCTATATTTTGGATAGCAGCTGTAAGTACAGTACTGTCATTTTTGGCGGACAGGTTGGTAGATGAGTGAAAGATGGTAGTGATCCATCAGAACATATTCAAAAACGTTATACGTAAATGGTTGTACAGTAAATTAATAGTTTGCAAATAATGTAAGCACTTGGTTCATGTATACATGATTACATGACACGTACTCATTAATTATACACTACATAATAATGACAAAGCTAATGATGACCATTACTCGGGTTTAAATAAATGTATTTTGTTTTATAAAGTCAGTGGGTTGAGCCTTAATTTGTTTGGCAAGAGGGATCGTAATTTGGAAAGGGGGGGGTGATCTCCCATGGTGGAGGGGTGCAGAATATTAAAATAACTGTTTAATATGTTAGGCACATGCTTATAAATTATGGTATCCTTCCTGTAATGGTTTTGCTGTGCTGGTGTGAAGCGGTGTCTTAACCCCAATATACAGTACATACTAAATAAAGGTGGGTCGGTTAGCGTCCTTTGGCCGTAGGGAGGATCGTGTACTGCCTTGGGAGTGGTTGGATTCGGATCATGCCTTACAATACATTTTCTGGCCAAACTTCTATTCTATTTAATATAGATACGTTATTATATTAGTTGTAAGACTAAATTTTGTTTAAGTATATAAACATGCACATTAATTTTGCCATTTAATTAGATGTGTGGATGAGCATCTCCCCTATCCTCTCTCCCCTAACCATTAATGGAATGGGTAGTGACAACTCTGGTAGTATATATAAATGTATTACTTATACATAGTAGGCGAATTTGCTAAGATTGTGTACAATTTTGTATTTAATTTCTGAAAGTGAGATCCATAACAATAACTTCACCCTGGTTTATAGTAATGTACACTTCTAATAATGCTAAAGTATACACTAGCTCAGATTTACGTCTGCAGGAGATTCAAACTTAAGTTTTAAGCTTAGAGACAGCAGTAGTAACATTTGAGGGTACTACTGCATGGTATTGTAGGGTGTAAAAAATTTAGTAATCTAGACAAACCACTGAAGATGATGTAAATACTGATTGGTTGGGTAGCTGTAAAACTTGATGTATTTAGATGCCGGATGTAACATCCTGTTATACCATATGCTGTCCTCGTCATGTTTAGTATCTTGTCAGGATTAAAAAAAAAGTTAGATTTTCAGTTTAAAGATGATAGACTGAAAGCTATTAAACCCCTATCTTAGAGATGATTTGATTGAATGGCCCATTATAAAATTTATCACTCATTTTGAAGGGTGTTGCCTTTTCGATGAAGATTTATTATACTGTGTGTGTTTGTTGAGAGGATGAGTTGAAATTGAAATTGAAATAAGTTTATTGAGGTAAAATACACACAAAGGGATGAGGTAGCTCAAGCTATTCTCACCCCATTCAGGATGAGTTGGTTTTATGCTTTAGTATGATCTAAATGGCTTATTTTGAGTGTTAAAACCTCGAAACATTCACAGACACTAGAGGAAGCAGATGTGCAGCATTTTCTACAAAAAATCCAATATGCCAAAGTTGAGCGTCTGACATTCGCACCATAGGTGGTATTATTCCCTGTAACAGTAACATCCATGCACATGGAGACAAATACAATGAGCATTGGATAACAAGTTAAATATGCTTGAAGCAACACCATTCGTGGTTTGAACACGCAATGCCGCATTGAAAGAATGTCATTTCCATACAATTATGACCCCCCCATGCAATTTCCGGTGTTGGGGGACCTCCACCCCCCCCCCCTTAATAGGCCGCCTGCTGACTGACCCAATACCAATCGCCTGTCGACCCCCCCCCCCCATCCCCCAATAGCCTGTCCACCAGCGCGCACTACCAACACTCCACTCACTTAAATTAACCAGCCCATCCACCTGCTTAGAAAGTACTTAGAGTAATGATGTGGACCATCATACATATAACATTACGTAATTATAAAGTAGAATTTGGTACTATTGAATTTAGACAAACAGGAAAAGTTAAAAAAAAAAAATTATATTTATGCTGGTAATAAAATCTATTTATCCTAGGCTTAATACATACCGAGGAGTGATATAGCACACATGTGCTATACTAGGCGTATGAATATTAAAATTTGGGTTTTTACTTTTTGCACAGACTATAAATTGAATAATACCAAATTTTATCTGATTGTCCATTACGTCAATATATGTACGATGGTACACATAGTACAGGGGCCTGACAGCTGAATGGACAGCTCTTCGGATTCGTAGTCCTGAGGTTCCGGGTTCGATCCCCGGTGGAGGCGGAAACAAATGGGCAGTTTTTCACCCTGATGCTCCCGTTCACCTAGCAGTAAAAAAGTATCTGGGAGTTAAACAGCTGCTACGGGCTGCTTCCTAGGGATGGGTAACAAAAAGGAGGCCTGGTCGAGGACCGGGCCGCGGGGACGCTAAGCCCCGAAATCATCTCAAGATATAGTAACAAAAAGTGCTATCTAACCAGGAGGATGAGTTGCACTCATCCACTGCCTCTCCCACCCTCCCACCACCATTTGCCTGCCC